ATATTGTTATTATTCTTATAAAAATGTCTAGGAATTTATCAGTACAAAGACCGTTAACCTTTTTTATCTATGAAATATATTCATTATACATGGCAAAAACAATGGCCTTTGTTTGATTCAATGAGAGGAAAATGAATTCGCACTTAGTAGGATTGCCAAAATTGAAGAATATTATGATATGCTTTTAGTTATAATTTTTTCTTATGGGCAGCAATTTCAATTTAATACATATAGAGTATTCATGCCAAAAAAAGAAACACTCTACTCATTTCAGTTCATTCAGTGCTTGAATATAATGAATGCTGGCGTCTCATGTCTATAAAACAATAGCAGATAAAAGTCTCAGTATCGCAATAAAATACTGTATTTATGGTTATATTTAATGCATACATTCATAAAAGTTGTTTCTTTGTCTGAAAAATGTGGGTTAGTAGGAGCTTAAAGTAGGCTATGAAGAGAAGATATTTTTTTAAAGTCGAAACTTATTTCCGATATTTTTAAGTTTCTAGCTTTTATAATTATCAGGTGTGAACATACATTTTGCTCAGAATCTCTATGCGAGGTGTTATATCATTATAACTCAATAAATGTCTATCAAATAATACTTTGTTGTAAATAAATCATAAAAGGTCTAATGCTGGTGCTTTTATTCCCGCGTCTACCCTAATTTATTTAGTTATATTTGATCTGCAATTTATATTTTAACATTCACCAATCACATAGAGTGAACTACATTAATAATATAATTATCTTAAAACTATTTTGAAGGCAGTAATGAAAAATAATTAAAGTTGTTATTACTACATTATCATTTGTATAAAATAATTTATCTGAAGTTCTATCACTGCATTCTATTAAATTAGCTTCTTGATTTTAATATACATGTATTCACGCAAATGATATCTCAGATTCATTTGCAACTTTTAATAACTTATCAATTTAAAAGTTCAGCCACGACTATTGTAGGAGATATTTTCTATACAAAAGCCTTTTTTGTTATTCTATTTGAATAACCAGTGAAAGGCTGTGACCACTTTCAAAATTTCCCTTGCAAAAACACTTGCCGTATCATTTAAAATTCGCAATACTTATTTTGAAAAACTCTAGACTAAAAGAGTGCATTATACTTCAGATAATATTCTTAAAATTGTAAGCATACACTCGTGTTTTATTTGACAGGTATTTTATCAAATTCAAATGATGCTTAAATTGAATAATTTAATTTCTTGAGTTCGAAAGGAAATATTATTTTTACACACGATTTCTATATCGTTGTTGACTCTGAAAACATCAGAAAGTGTTTACGGGTGATGGGAGGAAAGACTAACATAGAAGTAGAACACATAATTAGTTTACAGTTACACTCATGTATGTTTGGGATGTCAAAATGAGATAAATAAATGTTCTTAAATTAGCCTTACAACATAACTTATGTTGTCTGCTATAAAATGCAGTCTTGAACTAACAACGTTTGACGTGTCAATCTGTCTTTTATCAGTTGGTATGGTTTATGTAAAATTGTCGAAAACTTTATTTTCAGGGAATAATGTCATTTTGTTACAAATCACAGATATTTAAGTGTAAGTAATAGAAAGAGCATCGAAACACGAGGCTATAAGATTGTACGAGGGGGCGTAGCCCCCGAGTATAAATCAGATTGCCGAGTGTTTTGATGTTCTTTCACTTTTGTATCATAGTCAAACATAAAAACACGTTCCCTGATACCACAATATGAAACCCCACAAAAAGTAATAACCAATGAACGAGCATCTGAATATGATATTGCCATCGCAACCCGTTTCTCTGTCGTCACAAAATGTAAACCCCGGACAAAATGAACCAATCAATGGGCATGCTCTGGAGTGCGGGTAACTAATACCTGCACTCCAGGTAACAAACTGTGCATGTATATGTATACGATTTAACTCTGTCACATTTTCAACAGAAATGTCCCCAAATTATGTACAGATTTCATTCCTGTATGACCTATTAAAATAATAATGGACATTAAAAATCAGCTCAAAATAATACAAAATCAATCACCCATCATTGAACTTGCAAAACAAGGGACAATAGAAAAACATGAACACTTAAACACCACAACAGATTTTGCCTTTCGGGGAAATTACCGTAAACACTATAGAAAATGCGACTTGATTATTATAAATCTTATTTACATATTTAATTAAATAAGTGATCTAAATTTCAAATCATAGTTCATTTGACAATATTATAAGAAAGTCTGTCCAGTAAAAAAAGGAAAATTGCAAAAAAAATCATGATTATTTATATTATCAAAGGAAAGCAACGTTTATGGATCGCAGCCCCCTACTAAGTCATACAGAAACACGCGAAAATCCAAAACTATAGCAGATGTGTAAAACTGATCATTGTTATACAGCAATAATAAGCGGCTGTACTTATTGAAGCATAATGTACTTTACTATAATGTACGTTCGTGTTTCGTGTTTCATCACAAACATATTTGACTAAGAAAAAGAAATAACAGCAACAACTGGAAAACCTGGTTAAAAAATATGACATGCAAGTTCAGCAAATCTTTGATTTGGACGACTATACCCCATCAAAGCTATTCAAAAAATGACTTCTTACGTCTGTCAGAAGACACTTTTAGATAACTGTTGCCTTACACATGGATTTAGTTCAGGTGTAATATATGGTGTCCAGTCTGGGCCAGCTAAAAGACACCTATTGACATGCATTTTTTTTTAAAAAGCCATGTATCCCCTAGCGAGACTTTAAATTCTCAAATAAACTTTTTGGCGTTATATTCAACATTAAATTTGTCGCATGCTTAACTTAATGAGAATCAAAATGAAAAAATGTTCGCGATGATTAACCTTGGATTTTACGAGAACTGTAGCTTATTTAAAGTACAAGCGACTATGATAAAAGTTATTCGAAATCCCACAACGTATCTATTAACAAGAGCAGCGTTGACCATTCTCAGTGCTCGATAATAACACAAGTGCATGGATAATGTAGATTTTTTAAGTATAGTTCTGTCAAAATCCCTATAAGAGAAATAGACCTTGGATAGTGACCTCCTATGAGGCTCTCAAATAAATGTGTTAAGTTCAACCAATGTCCCTCGGTAGTTTTTGGGTTACCAACTTGCACGCAAATATGCAACTAAAAGGTGACACCTGGTGGAATACAATAGATCTCCCTTTTCTTCAAATAGTAGAGCTAAACAGGAGAATTAGTCAATATTAACAGGCAGTATATTATCGGCCTCAAACAGGACACCATAGAAACAGACGGTTAGTTGTAGCAAACTTGATATCGTAACTTAGGGGTAAATAAGTTTATCCAAAAAAAAAAAATAAAATTTAAAAAGAAATTGGATGGTTATTTTCATGAAGAAAGTAACTGTTGGTTTCAGTATTGAATGTTTTTTCCGACGAACTAAAAGTTGTTCGTTGATCGATTCTGAAAGTCTATCATTTCTTTCATAATGTCTGACATTCTATCAGAACAAAAACAACATGTCCTCCACAAAAACACTACTGCTGTTGCGTTAAAAATGTGAATAAGGAAACTTACCAAAGTTGAGGTACATTTTCCGTTATCCATATAACATTGAAGCAATAGAGGGATTTCCCATTACGTAATATCCGGAAGTCCGCCATTTTGGAGGCTAGCCCGGATGATAAGATCAGCTGATACGCTACCTTGAACATTTACAAAGGCTGTCAAATTTTTATTGTAATCGGACAGATAAATGATAACAGAATGGTATTGAAGTGTGCAATTATTGGTTGTTCAAATAGGAAAGATCGTGAAAAGGACTTGCAGTATTATAGATTACCTGCTGTGATAAAAAATCAAGGAATTGAATGTGAAAAACTGAGTGATGATCGGCGAAGAGAATGGCTAGCCAATATAAACCAGAACTTCAAGGATAAAAATATTGACAATATACGAATATGTTCAGCGCATTTTATCAGTGGTATGTTAGATATAATGTTTACGAATTAATCCTTGATAACATTTTTTCACCTCAAAATTCGAAGGTAGTAGTACACCTTATATTAACTCTATTGTCCTGTACTTAAAGTTACAGAGCTGTAAATTTTCTCTCAGTTTTTAAATGTCAAGCTAAGATAGATGTCAGATATTAGTAAGTCGTTTCCAAATGATTATGTACATGTATATACTAATACAATATTTCATAATTATTTATCTTTTCTTCAGGGAAAAGGGCAGAACTGTATGACAGAAGTAATCCAGATTGGTGTCCCACTCAACGACTCCGCATGGAAGGAAATGTCCAAGAAAATTCATTAGGTACAACACCGAGTGTCAGTAGATATAACAGGGTTCAGGACAGGAAACGGAGAAAACTTGAACTATTTGTTGAGACCAACCATGAATCTGATAATACTTCATCAAGCACTTCAGTTGAGAAAACAACAAATGTGTCATCTCAGACTGAAGTTGACGGCACGCACCTCAAGGGTATGGATTGTGAAATAAATGCTCTTCGTCTAGAAATAAAAACCTTAAAGGAAGAAAAAGAAATGAATGACAACAGGTATTCTGAAAAAGACTTTGCCAATAATGATGAAAAAGTAAAGAACTTTACTGGACTATGTAAATTTACTTTACTAATGACTTTATTTCAGTATCTTGAGCCATTCATGCAGAGTTCAGATGCTTTGGACAAGTTTAAGTGCCTTGTGCTTACACTTATGAGACTTAGGTTAAATTTATCAGTACTGTTTTTGTCACATGAATTTAAGATCTCCAAGTCTTCTGTGTCAAGGATTTTTTCTAATGTGACTGATGTTATGTATCAGAGGATGAAACCATTTGTTCATTGGCCTGACCGAGAATCTCTGCAGAAGACAATGCCTATGCAATTTAGGAAACATTTTGGAAAAAAATGTGCAGTCATAATTGATTGCTTTGAAGTGTTTATCGAGAGGCCTTCAAACTTAAAAGCACGTGCTGAAACATGGTCGTCTTATAAACACCACAATACAGTTAAATTTTTGATCGGCATTACACCCCAAGGGACCATCTCTTTTATCTCAAAAGCATGGGGCGGTAGAGTAAGCGACAAATACATAACTGAACATAGTGGGTTCCTGAATAAACTTTTACCAGGGGATTTAATCTTAGCCGACAGGGGCTTTGATATTCGTGACAGTGTTGGCGCAATGTGTGCCCAAGTCAACATACCAGCCTTTACAAAGGGAAAAGATCAACTTTCTCCAGCAGATATAGAAACAACCAGGAAGTTAGCAAATGTGCGCATTCATGTTGAACGTGTTATCGGGACAGTTCGCCAGAAATATACTATATTGAATGGGACTATTCCTATAAGTTTCCTTAAATCTGCACCAGAAAATAACATAACAATGATTGATAAAACAGCTCATGTGTGCTGTTCTTTAGTTAATCTGAATGATTCTGTTGTTGGTTTCGAGTGATTTGATTATATCTCTGATCAAATGTAAAAATAATAAAAGTAGCTAGGCGAAATGTAATCGGACAGTAACATTTGTTTGTTGGGTTGTTAACATTGTTTCTGAATATTAAATATACATTTCAGTATTGAATGCTCCATATACTGATATAAAGATTAGGCTAAAAGACTCTTTTTATATAATGTTTCTTCATCATTATGTTAATAAAATATCATTAAATTCACTTATTTGTTCTTATGTACATGGTACTTAAGTTATAATCAATAACAATCTGTTGCCTCATCAACACTTAAGGTACAATGCCCATTTGGCCATGTTTTAAGGTACAGCACGTAGTTTCATCTTGTACATATTTCAAATATGATAATGAAATCAATTAAGGGCCTCATCCAATGAACAGGAAAGGTTGAAAATGGAAAAGTTTACTCAATGAAAAGGTTATGGTCTTGATTATGCATTAAGTTAACTGATTGACAAAGCAGAAGTGTAATTATTAAGATTTATTCATTTAACATGTAGTTAAAAGATGCATACATGAATGATAGAATCAATATGATTAAATTGCAATGTAAAAAATTGGCATAACAATTGTCTTTCAATATTAACATGTCCTAAAAATTCTAAATCAATTAACATTACAATTATCGATACTTTTTCTAAGACTTGTTTAGAACAGCTGATTGCTATATTAGAACTGTTATATGTCCCATGAACTCATTATTATTCAAGTTATTTGTTCACTTGTCCTTTCAATTTTCTATATTTACTTGGCAATTCTCCTCCTTTTAAATTCAGGCAATTTCCGGCAATTAGGGCAATACCATTTCCCTTTTGGCGGCTTCTCAATATTTACACACCTGTAATGAAACCATTCTATCGTACACTCTGAATTGTCACATGCGATCATATCTCCATGCTCCACTTGACTACATAAACAATAAAGTTTTTCAGATGAGTCATGGATATCACTATTACATGTACTTGGTACTGACTGTTTATCAATGTTTTCTACAGCCGGCTTAACTTTAAGAACTGATGCGGGCACTGTAGTAAAATATTTCCCTACAAGTTCGGGAAGAATAGCAACTCTGAAGGTTTTATTTGATTCACTAATAATTTCATTCCAGATGCTTTCTTCAAACATTATTGTCTCAATATGACAACTCTTTTCTGTCCATACTACAAAATAAGCCATTTCCATGTTAGTAACACCAAGCTGAGTCTGAATTTGGTAGAAATACTGGTGGTCTTTTTTAAGTTTAAGTTGATTTCCCTCAGTTTCAGTCAAGTATTTACAGTTGTCAGCATTAATTTCCTCCTTTCGAATATTATAGGGGCACTTTATCTCTACAACTGCTGACCCACAGCAGTCGCATACAAATATCCCATCAGGCGATGCTCCCACAGCAGGATAAGCTGTACTTATAATGAATCCGCTGTCCTCAATTCGACTGTTGTCATGCATGGGACCAATTTCAGCTACAAACACGTCCCTTGCTCTTTTCTCCTGATCAAGACCCCATTTTGTGGCGGCAGACTGGAAAATGTTTGTTTCAGGGTAGCATATTGATTTAATTAAGCTTTGCGATGGGTTTTCTTTGTCCATTGTACATATAGCTTTTGCTTTAGATGCAGTGATTCTACCTGCTCTAAACTTGAACCACATTTTTGATTTTGACTGGCTTTGTGTATGGAGTTCTACGTTTTCTGCTTGTTGCTTGCTACAATGTACTTGAATTGAAGAGCATGCTTCCAAAATTTCCTTCAAACTAGCACCAATAAGTTTGTCATTTTTCAAATCTGTTAGTACACTAGGAAAGTCAGTAACATCAAATTTTGGCACATATTTGTCGGAGTAAGGTTCAATAAGCGACAGTATTGCAGGTTTTGAATCAAGTTTGCTTAATTTCTCGGCAAATGCCATAAAATCAGAAAATGAAGCTTCTGGGACACTTTTGGTTTTTCTAACTGAGGGTGTCTCACTAATAGCTGGTGATGACACTGAGTCTAACTGTTTATCTAGCTTTTTTTTGGCAGTTCTTGCAGATACAAAGTTGATCTCATTAACTTCCTTGTAAGAAATTGTTTTACAGTCAGATGGTAACAGCCAGTATGCCTTTTCCTGAGTTACTGTTTTAGAGTCTCTTATTTTAACAGTGGCCTCTATGGAAAAAAGGAGAGCAGCAACATGGGTGCAAGCCTCTCCAAGACCAGCCATACAGTTACAGTGTGCAGCAACTATCTTCCCATCTTTCTCAACAATGACCCAGGGTCTCAATGGCTTTTCCCTCATTCTTTGGGAGTGAAGAACCTGAAATTCAAAGAAATAAAAATGTAAACTTCCTTTTCCTTAAAGACATGAGGTAGAATAAAATGGAAGAAGAAATTCCCCTTTTTCTTTGTTTAGAAATTTAATCATTCTTCTTGTTCTTGTTTTTATTTAAATATTTATCTCAAATTATACATGCTACATTTGAATATGCACGATAAAATGCGTCATTTATATGTTAATAAGCCTCATGTGTAAAACACGTAATGTCACGGTGCATGACAGGATTATGCGACAAAACTAAGATGTCCACAACATCATTTCAGTATGCTTTTCATTTATAAAATGTCATATATATATATATGCCATTACCAGCTACAGATTATGAATACAAGAATATATAATTGGCTATGCACAGCTCTGCTTATTTTACTTTTTATTGAATTTCATATGTATAAAAAAATATAAGTATGCTATGTCTAAATTAAATACATACTTTTGCTGTAACAACCACATACTGCCCATGAACTATCCCTGACTTTTCCCTGACCCATCCAGATACAAATTGATTATAGGCATCAAGAGACTTATAAGCTTTGAGGTCATCGGCACTATAAGCACTTGGAGTGAAAAGTAAGTAATTCACAATATCAGGATAAGTAACTGCCGGTAATATGTTCACATTATCTGACCAAGCCAACTTCCCCTCGTACAGATCAAGTCCACCAACAATTGATAATTTGGCTTCATATCGTTGTTTTTCGTCAGCTGAAAGCCCATCTCGATATTCTGCTGATTTACAGTTTTTTCCTTTACAGTTTGCCATTATTTTTATGATTTATACTTTAAATCTAATCACATAATGTCCATTTTTATCTAACTTTATCTCACACCTTGTTTACAATTTTACGAGTGCCTCCAAAATGGCGGACAACACGGTGTAAGGGTAGAAATCTCCCTTTCGTGAAATCCCTCTATACATGTTTAGTGCTTATTTCAATGTTAATCGACGTAATATATTTGAGTAAATATGACTCTTTAGAAAGGCAACCATTTTAATATGTTATGAATGAGTGAAAGTCACAGTAGGAACACTGACTTAAGTAACGGCGTTACTGACCTAAAAATTCCGTGGAAAGCAATAACAACCAAAAAAGTGATAGGCGTTGTAAATTAGTTCTATATTTTCATATTTCTAACAAGAATGACAGTATTTTCAATAACTACAATGTAATTTATCATTAATTGTGGGTTTAATATTTAATCTTTTTACACTAAATTCGTCGATAAGTCAGATACAGTATCGTATTTTCTTCATAAGTTTTCTACAGACGTGAAAGGAGACAGTTGCAGACAAACAAAAATTATCCTCGAACAATTGTTGTTTCCAAAAATTGTCATCTTTACTTCTGTAAAGAAGACCTATGAAGAAAAAACGGTACTGTTTCCTACTAAACACAATATATCAGCATTGTTCAGTGTGTTCACCTGTGCGCCCATGCTTTATTACTACTTGATACTTGTAGTGTCAAAAATTTAATTTCTAATTTAAAAAGAATAGTGTTGCAACATCATGAGAATTACATGCAAAAGACAAAAACTTGAAAGAAAACTATATGTTACAAAGAAGATGTTTTCGATATCAGATGCTGAAAAGCTATAATATAAAGATCATAAAATAATCATCACATTACTCATAAGAGATAATGCGATAATAAATGCAGGGGTATCGACTTGAATTGGCACATTTTTCGGCTATAATTAAATAATAAAATTACTGAAAACATGTATCAAAATTAAACATATTAGTTCATACTAATCTATCCTTGATTGAGACATCCATACCGAAATGATCCTCATTCATTCAATGATGAAAACAATGGGCTTCATTATTATCTGTTTTTAAAAACGGCTATTGTTGCAAATGTCCTTTTATTTTACATTGCAAATTATTGACTGACTTTTTTTGTTAGTTTTATGAGTATCGTAATATTTGACGAATGTGTGTTTAAAAACCTTTTAAGAACATTATTTTGATCTAAAAACCATAACTTGGCTGTGATTATTTGTCTAAATTTAATAAAAACTTCATACATACATGCCTACATAACATACATACATACATACATACATACATTTCAAGGTACACAAACCCTGTTGGTTTGTAGCTAACCCCAGATGAACCCACCACCAAGAGTGGTTTGCATCCATTTATATTGGAAACATTCCCTAATATTAATTCACCAACTTTCGTTTTTGCATATTATTATGCTCATTATCAGTATCATGACGTTCTACCAACGTCGTTACACTAGCACCAAAAATGCTTTTCATCAAAATGTCTGCAAACATGACAGGGTAACCTTTCGAGACCAAGACAGGTAACCTTTCGGAACCAAGACATTCAGTAAACTCTGACTTTTCTTAATGTCTTTCGTATGACCATTATGATAAATTAAGTGTATTTATGTCTGCGATAATCTCTACAGATATGATATAAATAGAATAGATCACTCTGAGGGTTACACATTTTCAAGTCTCCTGATATGGCAATTTCTGTTTAAGTATGCTATTAATAATAACTGGCTATTTTTTTCGAAATGATTAATGAGATTTTATTTGTACAAGTTGACTACTATCACTGCTTATCCGGTCTTCACCATGATATTGTTAAATTATTTAGTGCTATATATATTTATGGAATGTTGAGTTAACAAAATTTACCCCCGTAGGCCGCAATAGTAATGTCATGTTTTTAACATCTTTACCATGGAACTCATTTCCTTCTTGCACTTCTGTAAAAAAGTAAAATAAGGCTTTTAAGTATAAGTAGTACTGGTAAACTGTTTGACAGCCCTCAGGAACGATGCGGTGGCTGAACTGTGCTCTAATAAATTATAGTTCGCAATGGCCTATACGGCCAGTATAGATAAATTTATCTACACACCCGCTCACGAATATGGTAATTCCAAGTGTTAGCATTTCCAAAAATGCTTGGAATCGCTGTTCAGCCATGACTCAATAAGTTAGACTACATGAGCTACTTAATAAGTTCGTGCATCAATCGGCAAAAATAAGCATCTTGACTAACTAACTTGATGTCTGTGAACATGCTATAAATGGAATTTACGTTATATAATCCGTCGACTTCTTTGCGATTTTTTTTTCTGAAACAGACTATAACTGACCTGCTATATGCGATAATGATGCCAAAACGACACTCATAGTATTAAACTAGCCCGGAAGAAAGCATTTATAAAGTTTTTTCTTTAAGTGCAAGTTTTGGAAAGAAAACAAAGTATACTCTTTTTTAGACTACATTGTCTAATCAGAAATGACATGTAGCAAAAAATATTGCAATTTGCTGTGTTTATCCTGCAAGAGACTAAAGACTGGTACTGAGCTCGTACATTGATAATGGTATTTTTCAGTTGTACGAATAAGTAATCCGACAAAACATGGCGGTTAGGCGAGTCCATTTAAGCATCCCTCATTTAAGTGTTTGACGTCCATTTTGTTATCATGTGATACTGAAGTATTCGTTTGATTGGCTAAACGCAGACGGTGTACGGGTAGAACTGTTCAAATCTTGTCAGTTGTATATATCACCGTCCAGGAACGGCGATAATAAGGTTGTCGTAAATACGACGTTACGTTAACGGGAACGGCAGGCAGACGTTACGTTGGCGGGAAGATCGTTCAGCACGACATTATTGTTGTGTCTGTGGTATTTTTAGTTTTAACTATTTGGCATTTTCTAGTTGGGTGGTTCCATTATTCCTAATTGAATAATGTTGAATCACCTTTAGGATATGTTGCCTGCTTTTTAACTTTGTCTTTTGACGTCTTATCTGTGATATGCAGGCTTCATAACCTCTGATCCCCTTTTAAAATTCCATTTTGTCTGATTCCGCCCATTGTTTTCTCGTTTAGGGCACAAGCTTTTTTTACTTGGGGTCCATATGCCGCTTTTCATGGAATGGCACTACATGTGTACTGTGTCTCGTTGAAGGTTCCATGATAACTGCCGTATGAACACATCTGCGGATGCTTCTAAATTCAAAATTTTACCATTTTTTGTTTAAATGTTGAATTCTGCTTAAGCCGGTGCTAGAGGGTGTGGACGGTAGTTTGCACTTGACAGTATCGTCCATGAACAGGCTCAATCAAACCGAGCCTGCAACATTTTCAATTTTTACGTGTTGGGCCTTCTTTAGGGATTCTTATTTTCTCTATTTAATACGACGTCATTTCCGTTGTACTGTTGTTTTACCGTTAATAAACATTATCATTTTTAGACACAACGCAAAGTAGTAGCTTCTCATTTCACTGACCATTTTACAAAGGTGTTTCGGGTAAACAACCTATACACTTAAGTCATACCAGGGCCTTTCAAATACAAATTGAATGTATCGATTATTGTACGTTTTGTATCCATATGTCACTTCTCATTATATAATAGATTCTATCTACTATCTTCTTTACAACATTGAATATAAACAAGTAGTAATTTCAACGTGGGCTTTTAATCTCTATATCATTTTGTTATGTAACAAACTTGTTTGTTGGATCTATGATCATTTTAAGAACGTTTAGATACCTATCTTGGACATAAAACTCTTAAATAGTTAACATTGCCGTCAGTGAATTTCGTATATAAACTCTTCATCAAGGCTAATCAGTTGACGAATATCACATTTTGAAAATTTAAAAAATGATAGTATCACTTCCATTGCTGTCTGACCGCTTTTAAAAAAGACTGCCGACTTGCTTTATAATTGGTTGTTTTCTCATAGTACGAGTCACACTTCACGCTGCTGTATAAAACTATACAGAAATGACAATTAGACAATACCATAACATTTATACAAAGTGTTGCCTAATTGTATTAAGGTTGAATTATTATGTCTGTAACGACATATACTAGATAAAGAGGTCGCTTTGTTTAAGAAATAATATATCCCAAACTGTGATTTTATCGCTCAACAACATCACTGTTTGGAGTTCGGATGCGAGAAATTATATCACGAGGGCGTAGCCCGAGTGATATAATGATGCGCATTCGAACAACAAACAGTGATGTTATCCAGCGATAAAATCACCGATTTGGATATATTATTTCGATTCTAACACAATGCTGCCGTACCTGATATTAAGCAAAATTGCGCCTGATTTGGTTCAGTGCGTCGGATTTTGTAGAGGCTACGTCACATGTAAAATGATTACGTCACATGTCTAAGTATAGACCGTCAAACAGTGATTTTATTGCACAATAACACACTCTTTCGGTTCTTTTATATTCAATAGGGAAAATGCGGGTCGTGTTAGAATAGTACGTAAATAGTACCTTGATATTTTTATTCTGCAACTTATTGTCGGCTTTCTATTCTTTTAGCAATTACAATAAATGAATTTAAAATGTTAACTATTTTAACTCCATCGCTAGCTTAAGTAAAAAGCACACACAAAAAAGAACAAGCAAAAACGAACAAGAATATAAAAAAAAAACTCTACTTGATAATTTTGTAACTATTTATTTTTGCGCATATTGCATTTTTTTCCGGTTGAATGATTTTTGGCCGAGTTATGGCCCTTTAATGTGTTGCCAGATACACAAAAGCTTGTCCGGACTACTTCTCAAAAACTACTTGTGCAATTTCATCCGAACTACAGTAATGATTAGTACCTAGTCTAGTTGTGCATATCATCGGCTTTTTATGGTTTAATGAATTTTGTTATGACCCTTTCATTTGTTATTTCTTTTAGTTTGTCCAGACAACCCTCTGAAACCCCATTAATGCAATTTTTCAATAAAGAAAAAAACTTTACAGGAATTTTTGGGAGGCCATGTAACACCGCACTTTGGGGTCAAACGCACTTTGGGGTTCGACCCCAAAGTGCGTTACGTACTTTGGGGTCCGACCCCAGAGTGCGTTACGCACTTTGGGGTCCAATTTTTACCCAAAGTGCG